GAAAGATGACAACTTCCGTTCGTGGTTGGAATGCATCGTCGCAATCCGCCATCTTGTCTGCAGCTAGGTCCTTCTTATACAGCCTGCCAGTAGATGAACCTTACAGACCTAACTCAGGGTAAAACTGCTCCATGTAACTCTTTAGCTCCCTACCGCCTTCCCGTTTCACCTCAGTTAGTTTTTGAAGTGGAGACACAGGCAGCGGATTTGAAAAACAGCCAACTCTCGATAGTCACAGTGGCACAAATTAACTTCATTTAAAAAATGGCGTTTGTTGGAAGAAGTCGCTTCCAATGGGAAGTCATATTTAAGAGTTAGACTGTGTTCCTTTTCGACGAAAAAGTTAAGAAAGCTCCCCTGTAGCGGGACCTGACCCACCTGCATCATGCCCGAGATGTCGAAGATGAAGAAGCCCGACGCCAAGTTGGTTCTCCTGGGGGATATGAACGTGGGGAAGACGTCGCTGCTCCACAGGTACACTGAGAGGAAGTTCAAAGACACCATCAGCACCGTCGGAGGGGCGTTTTTCCTCAAACAGTGGGGACCTTACAACATGTCAATATGGGACACAGCTGGTAATAGCTCCTCCCGTGTATTTTCTTACTTTTCCCAACTGTCAACTTGTCCATTATCATTCTTTTCTTTTATTAACTCTGTTTACCTGATAACGTGACCCCACCACCTGAGGCAATTATTGGCATGTAACTGCTCGGTGTACCCAGGCAGCCAGCGTCTCCTGTTGTTTTTTCACAGAAAAAATTAGATTTTGTGTAGAAACGAATAACACTGACCTTGCACAATTAAAACAAAAGCAGCATAATCGAACACACCCAATGATAATCCATGAGTAAGGGAGAGTGACATCATAAGCAGCTGTATTTAAACAGTAACCTGTAATTTAAGACGAATGTGACGAGAGACTTTAAATATTGAATAGACTTATGAAAACAAAGGCCTGTTAATCGGCTAATCAAACAGCTAACAGATCGAAAATGATTTGGTTCCAGTTTTGATAAACAAGTATTCTTTTATAAAAGTGATTTAATGTCAGTTTTAGATTCATATGATTAAAAATTGACTTATTTTCTGGCACTTGGTGAGATTATCTGAGAAAGTAATTTCAAATACTTCTTTCTCTCTGGTATTTGGAGATTAAACTTAAAGAATATATATTTTGTAGAATAAATGCCTTTAATTTCTTCATTCGAAAGACCATGCAAGCAAATGCTCCCTTAACACTTTAACATCCTGTAATGACCTAATACAGTTTTACTGAAAATGTTGGCCAAGTCATACTACAGATATTGGGTCACCTCAATTTTGGTTTATGTATAAAGCCAGGAACAATTTGTTACCTGGTGGAATTCAAAAACTATTTAATGAAAGGGAAGGGGGATACAATTTAAGGGGTCAGTTAAATTTAAAAATTCATGTTATACGTACAACCAAAAAAAAAGAGTTTGTATTTCCATAAGTGGGGTAAAACTATGGAATAATCTAAGTGCGGACATAAAAAATAGTAATAGAATTGACGAGTTTAAATATAAATATAAAGGTATGTGTCAATGAAGATATATGCAAGAACAGGCTTAATGATTAATTAGATGGAACATTGTGGGTGTGGTGTATGAATGTTAATGCTCTGTTATAATTTTTTAGTATATTACTTGTGTGGTGTAGAAGAGAATTATAAGTGATAAGGAAAGACCAACCATGTGCCACTTCCTTCTGTGACCTCTGACAGGATGTGGCTGGGTTTTTTATTTTGTTTTTGTAGCGGAGAAATAAAAGAGGTCAGCGCTGAGTCATGTCAAAGTAAATATTGCAGACTTATCAGCACAGACCATTCAGGACTAACAGAGTGGCAGTTGTAAGGGCAGTACTAAAAACTGTCAGATGTTTAGTTCACCACACTGAAAGCTAATTTTCCCACAGATAATACCCCTTTCAGTTTAGTTTCAAAGCCTGACACAGGCTTATGAGATGCCTGTTCTTCTTGATGGTCACATGACAGGGCTGTGACAGGAAGAGTTGACTCCTTATGCTTGACCGTCATTTCTAACATTACATGCATACGTACTTTCCAGAAGCATGATCACTGACTTTGCAGTTTTTCTTTTGTCACTTTGGTATTTACTAGTTTGTAAAAGGAAATGTCTTAGAGCTGAAATGATTGATTGATTAATCAGCATATCAAGAGAAAATTAACACCACCTACTTGTTTCAGACATATTTTAAGATAAAATGCCAAATATTCTTTGTATCCATTATCTCAAATGTGAACATTTGCTCTTTTCTTTGTCACATATGATGGTAAATATTTGGACTGCTAGTCAGATCAAACATATTTAATATCAGCAAATGAAAAGGATTGTTGGTTGCAGCCCTAGATACAGTATACACAAGCCTTGTAGTAATCTTCCCATTACAAAGGTTTTGTTCATGTGAAACTGTTTTTGAAAGGTGTTGGTTCAACCTGAATGTCATTTTGAAAGCTGTTTATTGTGGTGCTGTTCCATTACACTAAAGTCTTTATAGTATTACAGCTTATTATAAAGCTTACAAAATCACCATAAAGTTGAATCAACAGCTTCAAACATTATCATTTTCACAAAGACTCCTTACAGGGCTGTTGCATTAGACTGTGTTAGTTTTAGCTAGGTGCACACTCTACACAATAAACTGACAACAAGGAGACGCCCCCAGGGGCAAAGTATTCACGCACAGTGTGCCCTCTGAAGAATTCTGCATAAGTGCAACAACAAAGGTTGTCTCTGTTTCCAAACTGCTGACTGTCTTGTGTCATTTCTCTCTGTGTTGTGTCCTTCTGCAGTGCTTTACAAACAGCATGACTGTTAAATCTTTTTCACACAGGAACTCTAAACCATGTCTGTGAAATCAGGCCCAGACTTTGTTGAGAGTTCCCCTTTCAAACATGTAGTAGACAACAGGAGGTAGTGTGTGTCAGAAGTTCCTGAATCACTTCATGTCTCCAGTTAGATATTTTCATTGGTGTCTTCATTGTAAATGACCATTTTGCTTCACCATCGGATGTTTGTATTCTTCCGGTTTCACGCTGGTCACATGATAGAACAACATCATTATACCTACTAGCTCTGTGTAAATACTCCGGACTGTATGCTGCTGTATTCTCACATAGACTCACTCCAGCTTACTTAGACCATATGTGGACTTTGTACTAGGAAGCTGGCAGAGTAAAGTCTGCTTAAGGTCCGGGTCAACAGACTCAGACATTTGCGTTCTGACATACAGCTCCCCCAGGTAGTGTCTAGAGAATTTAAGGATTCTAGTGCATGTCTGAAAGGGGCATCTGTGCTTAAGTTCACTTGGTTTGCTGCTGCACTAGAGACACTGTGGACCTCCCTCTCTCTCCTCAGGTCGAGAACAGTTCCATGGGTTGGGCTCCATGTACTGTCGAGGTGCAGCTGCTGTCATCTTCACTTATGACGTCACTAACTGGCAGAGCCTAGTTGAGCTTGAGGAGCGCTTCCTGTCCCTGACAGATACAGCTAACCATGACTGCATTTATGCTGTGGTGGGCAACAAGGCTGATCTCACAGACGCTAAAGCCCAGATGTCCCAGGACTCGGGGAGAGTGTCTGAGGACCAAACAGAGTATGAGAGGGACAGGACAGAGCCACAGTTGCTCTCTGCCTGCCCCACACCCCCAGCCACCCCTGCATCCCTCTCTGGGGTGATCCTACACAAACAGGTTACACATGAGGATGCAGTGGCTCTTTATGGGAGAATACTACGCTACAAAGGCCTGGAGGAGAAGAGCAGCCTGCCTGCAGAGAAGATGTGCTTCGAGACAAGTGCCAAGACGGGGCATAATGTGGACACTTTGTTTGAGACATTATTTGATCTGATGCTGCCTTCCATCCTGAGAAAGAGAAATGAGAACCAGAATTCTCCTACAGTTGACCTGGAAGAGTGCAGTGTGGCCAGCAGTAAGCAGGCCAAGTCTGCCTGCTGCTAGGATCCACCAGAGGGGTGGAGAGGCTGCAACTAGAAGAATCTTGTTTTTAGCAAAGGACAGTCAGTAGGTTGGTCCAAGCACTAAATACATACTGTGATGGTACTACTTGTTTCCCTTGACTGAAACCTGAGACCATTATTAGTGACCTCGCATACATACGTTCTTGATGCTGTGAAGATGTTACGAGAAAGCAACTAGACTTCGTAGTGTCCTGATACATTTTCTGTGTAATGAAGGGAAATGTTGCCACTCTGTGCTTTGAGACCTTCCACCCTAACAAATGAAACTGCTCTTGTATCCCAAAGATGTGTCTGTGGGCAAATAATCCACATAAGAAGTCAGTAACTGCTATTTGTAAATGTGGTGGTATGAGAAGTTCACACATTTACCAGCACTAATTGTTAGCTGGGTGGCACATTTCACTGTGTTTATCCTAGCTGAATTTTAAGGGTTTCACAAATCACACTTAATTGACTCTTTTGTTATTAGTGTTGATACTGATCTTTTTATTTTATTGGCACTTTCAAGGAGTGTAAATAGTAAAATACCCCTGTTGAATTTTTAAGTACACTGTCATAATAAAGATTTTTATTTTGCAGTTCGCCCAGTCTGTCAGTCTTGTGTGAGTAAAATAATATAGTCCAAAGTATAACAAACACCATTTAATCTTTACAATCAAATTATCATGTTATGAAAATGACCATAATCGCATTACAATTAAAACAAACATTGTCAATGTTTTTCCGGTTTAATCAAACTTCATTTCCAAACAAGTCTATCTGGGTGAAGTAGAACATTTGACCTACTTTCTAAATTGTGTAAAAGAATCTAACCCAGGGGCAGTGACCTCAGCGAGGGTTTGTATCAGACCTTTGATTCTGGTTGTTTACATTCTGTCCTGTTGGCAGCTCAGGGCAGTTCAATAATTAGTAGATTTGTAAAGGAACATGGATGAGACGAGTAGTATAAGATATATATTTAAAACTCTTAGGAATGGGGGTCAAGTTCATTCAGCCGGTATAATTACAAAGAGAATCAGTGCATTCTTTGAAAATATGAATTCTGCATAATGTAATAGTTGATTAATACATAAAAATGTTAACAGCTTGAAAAGTCATAAAAATAGGTTTTGGTGGAGCAATGACATAGAAGCAGGATAATGTAAATAGTATCAGCTAACATTCTTTGTCTTCTGATATATTCTTCAATTGGCTGAGAGGCAGTGTTAGTGGCTTCATGTTCAGCGGTAAACAATAAAAACCATTTTGATTAACTGAAGCAGTGCATACACACGGGCATCTTTGGTTCAGCTGTAATGTACGGTCTCTGATTTGTTAATGTATCATAGTAGCTGAGGTAATAAGTTAAACAGTAAGCACCAATCCACATTTATCATAAAATACTTTACCCACAACACTGTTAGCTTCATTATGGGACTCCTCCTGTCTTAACTATAGTGGGACATTTTGCTCAAAAGCTCAAGGCTTCAAACAGTCATTGGGGAGAAAGTTTCCCACTTACATTGATCTAAGGCAGTATTCAGATCCACTTTGTTTGATTTAGTACATGGACAGAGAGACGATACTAGATCACTGTCAGTGGAATGTCTTCCTGTCAGTGTAACTGTGTAGCACCTTTCACAAGTTCTTCATGCAGACCTGGCAGCGGCTGATGCGTGACAGGAGCTGACCTGCTTTGAGAGTCTCTGCTGATGGCTCAGTGTGGAACGCCTGATCTATGGAGGTTAGCCAGAAGCTGTTCTTGTTAGCAAAGTAGTGGCATGTGCCTTTGGCCCCATTACACTCAATGAATGGTGTTGTGCGGAAGTCCTCCAGGCAGGAGCCAGGCGATGACAAAGACTGACCTCCACCTTCATTTCCTGCTGCTGTATGCTGTGGAGAAAAAGGTAAGAAATGAGGCAGGTGTGAAGTCCTAGATGCAGTATGTTTGGTGATATTCTATACTTGTTTTATATATTTTATTTTTTGAAATAAAAAGGGAGGCTGGTGGTCAGTGATCACCTTAAGTCCAAGACACTAAAAACTAACACCTGTGTCAGGAATTTTGGTGTAATTAGTGATGAGGATCTAAATTTTAAAAACACAAATGAGAAATGTCGTCTAAGCAGGATTTAGAAAAGCTCATTCATGCTTTTGTTTCTAGTAGGGTCGACTACTGTAATGCACTACTGATTGTCCTCCCCAGACAACTGCAACTCATTCAAAACACTGCTGCTGGAATACTGACAAACACAGAGAAGAGAGCACACATTACTCCAGTCCTTAGATCTTTGCACTGGCTTCCTGTTAAATGCAGAATTCAATCTGAGGCCCAACTTATTGTCTGCAAGTCTCTCAATGGTCTGGGCCCAAAATACATCAAAGATGTGTTTGCTGAGTACAAGCCTGGCAGGTGTCTCAGATCTGCAGGGACTGGTCAGCTAGTAGTGCCCAGAATTCAAATTGAACAAGGTGAAAGTGCTCTTAGCCACTGTGCTGCCCACAGCTGAAACCAGCTCCTATTAAATCTTCAATCTGCCCCAACTCTAGCCACTTTTAAAACTAAGCTAAAGACTGTTCTTTTCTCCACTGCTTTTAATAAATAGTTACATGACAGTGATGCTTGAAAGCCTGCACAAAGCATCTTTGACCCCCCCAAATCTCACCATGAGGAAGGAATAGCCGATCCACAGGCTGCGCCATCCCGCAGGACACTGTGGAATGGTGATATCCTGGCTGTGCACTGCTATGGCAACTGATGGAGCTTCGCATACTGAACAGCGGCTGATGTATGGTTTGATCTCCGCCTCTTCTACAGGCATCATAGGAAGAGGAGCAGTTGTTGACAACCAGTAGGACTTATCATTTCTGCTGGCATAGTAACAAATGTCTCCAGGATTGCAGTACAGGAAAGGCATGGTGCTGACCCGTGGGAGGCAGGAGCCAGCCAAGCCTGAAAAGAACAAACAGCCAAATCAGACTATGCAAGAAGGCAAGGTTGTGGATAATCAGTCATATAGTATATTAGAGGTCACCTGCTTCTTCTCTTTTCAACCTCATCATTACCTTGTAGCTCAAATTTAAATGCTAAAGCTTTGAGTTTTTTTTTTGAGCCTGTATTGATCAGTTAAGTTGCATAGAGGCAAACAGGAAATGGGAGACAGAGACATGTGACAAAGCAGTAGAAAAATCTGAGCCTGAACTTTCTGGAATAACATATCTTCTAGTTCACTGGATCAAAATATCAGAAACATTTAATCTGAGGATGCCTGCCTTATTCAATGCACTTGGACAGGACTGTGCTGTAACAAACACACACTGGCACATGTGTACATAGTACATTGATTACTGATTTATTCTTCCAATCTAATGTATTGACATAATCACTGTATCGACATCCTGTTTATATCACAAAGACTTCTGACTGCTGAGCATGTTAACTTACTATAGAACATTTTATTTTATTGTTCACCCCAACTTACCAAGATCCTGGTTGTGGGCCTTTTCCTGTCCCTCGAAGTATAACAGACTGTAGCCATCCCACAGTTTAGACATGCCCACAGGGCACATGGGCGTCTGGTCTGTTTGGCTGTGTTTCACCAGCAAGTAACCCACACTGACACTGCGGCCAGGCATACCTGGTAACCCAGGGATACCAGTGTTGCCACGTTGACCTATTGAGAAATTAGGAGCTCAGAAAAGTGTTTTGCAACCAACTATTTTTGAATTCTATAATATATCTGCACATACACATACTGAACACACTTCTTACAAACAGTATCATGACAGATATGAATTGGTATCATTAAACATAGTCGATTCTTAAAAGTTATATAAATATATCTGAAAATTGGACACTTTCATGCACAGAACTCTAATTAGGCTCAAACTCTTTCAGCTGCTTCTACAATGAAAATTATGTAATAATACAAATAGACTGAGGAGCTTTCAAGTCCTCAGCACACTGCTAACAATTATCAGTTTGGTGCTTATTGGTTCATTTACTAAATCAACTTTCACAAAAAGTAACAATCAAAGACTTTTTGGTAACTGATTCCCTGCTTAAATCTTCACCGACTTTAAATCCTTTAATCCAGGTCTTTTTAACCTAATCCTAAATTGCCTCACAGCATCAAACATACCTTCCATGCCTTGCAGACCAGGGTGGCCCATTTGTCCAACATCTCCACGGAGTCCAGGTATTCCTGGTGTACCACTAATCCCAGGCATGCCCTTCTGCCCAGCAGGTCCTATGAAACCTGTACAGTAACAGGATACATATACAATATGTTGCTAAGCAGAACATTTCACTTTGGGATCTCAACAATAAATGTTTTATTAGAATAACTAACCTGCATCTCCATGGGGGCCACGTGGCCCTGGTTCACCTATGATCCCCTTTGGTCCTTGGATACCCATTGGCCCTGAAGGGCCCCTCTCTCCTGGATATCTGATGGGAACTGGAGGAGGACCCTGGTTACCTGGGAACCCACGAACACCTGCAACAGGGATGGATCATGTAATAATCAAGACAAAAAGATGCATGCCCATGATACCTAGTGAGCAGTGGTTAAATTATCAGAGAATAATGTACCCGGGGGTCCAGTGTTTCCCTTTGGGCCAGCTGGTCCTCTTTCTCCCTTCACACCAATAGTACCAGGAACTCCCATCACTCCTTGCTCTCCTTTCACTCCTGTAAAACAAAGCATATCAAGACTGTACAAAAATGTCAACAAGTGATGATATTATTAAAAAGCAACATATTCTACATGTGTGCCATCTTTTGCATATTTTATATTTAGCTTAATGTTTCTTTTGAAAATATTTGTAGTATTTTGCATATGCCAATATTTTACTTGAACTGTAAACCACTCACACTCAGTGAGTTTAATCAGTTTTTAGCTTTAGTTTTATTTATACAAGGGTTTTATATTAATGTGCTGTAGTGAATGTTTTCCCTGTTTGTCCTGTACACATTGGAGACTGTACATAAAGACAGACAACAGCTCCCAAAAGTAAAGCCACCACTAGTCCATCTCCCCTGGTGGCCGGTTGTGATTCAGGACATAAACCCGGCCCTCTCCATGTTAGTGGATAGGACACAAGCCAACGTAACAATTCTTTTCCCCAAACGTTATTTCTGTCATTTTCTGCTTGTTAAGTGTGATGAAACATTCCACTTCCAGGTCCAAACTCCCCCATGTCACCCTTTACACAGTTAATGTATAGTGTTTACCTTAACGCCGTGCTAACTAGCTAACTACATTACAAGGCAGCAAGAAGAATGCTGTGACTTCTCTAATCAGCAGTAGCCATCTTTTTTCCTCGTTCCAACTGCAAGGTAAGGTGTAAAATGAAATTGACCTGTGATTTTTGATTCAGATCTATTGAAACAACTGGGAACACAACACTGTGGCACAGGAGCAAGAGAACGAACCGAAGCTTGGACCCGGAAACAGAATCTTACATCACCACTTAATAAGCAGTTAGGCAGATATGATCACCTTTGTTTTTATTTTTTTCTTGATATGTTTCTGTTTAATAAGTTATTTGATTTCAGATGATTGACAGTTTTGGTGGCCTGATACTGCATCTCCACCTCTTGTCGCTACTGAGCAGAATCTGGTTGCGCAATATCACAAAAGCAAGATAGCAGCCTGTGTATTTGCAATATTGTAGCTTCACTTTTGCATAGTGGCAGGAAGTGGTGACATATCATCCATCTTTTTATACAGTCTCTGCACCATAAAGTATAGCAGTGTACTTCCACTGACTTTGGTGCCAGATAATGTATTATAAGACACCACATCACAAAAACAAAAATGTATTGTCACCTTAAAATCTGCTATTGCAAAAATGACACAAATAGTACAACATTAATTGTATTTAAGTCAGTGGTAAAGGCACATTCATGAAAAGATTCCATATTTTATCCATACCTTTCTTCCCAGAAACACCATTAGGCCCCCGGTATCCAAATTGCCCTTGATTTCCCTTTAATCCTTTCCAACCAGTGACTCCAGGAGACCCTAATGATCCTGGTATGCCCTTTTCTCCAGGGGGAGCATCCACACCAGGCAATCCTCTGGGTCCAGGGAAACCTGAAAAACAAATCATTTACAGTTCATAGGAATTTATAAAAACTTATGTGTAGCATGGAGGATGGATGCAGAAAAATATAAACCAAATCTGAATGAAAACCTTCTTCGGCATGTTCAGGATCTCATTCATTCATTCATCTTCTACCGCTTAGTCCCTGAACGGGGTCGCCGGAGCTAATCTCAGCCGGCAATCGGGTGAAGGCGGGGTACACCCTGGACAGGTCGCCAATCCATCGCAGGGCTAACATATAGACAAACAACCACACACACGCACACGCACTCCTATGGGCAATTTAGAGACACTAATCAACCTAATCTGCATGTCTTTGGACTGTGGGAGGAAGCCGGAGTACCCGGAGAGAACCCATGCAAGCACGGGGAGAACATGCAAACTCCACACAGAAAGGTCCCGAGTGGGGCCCGAACCCAGAACCTTCACTGCGCCACCGTGCTGCCCTATGTTCAGGATCTCAGACTTGTAAATATAAAACTTCAGGTTTACATTTCAACAAGACAACAACAACCGCCAAGAAAATACAGGAGTGGCCCAGCTACAGTCTGGACCTGAACCCAATAGAGTATCTCTGGAGAGATCTGAAAATGGCTGTGCACCGCTGCTCCTCAACCAAGATGGCTCACTTTGAAGAATTCTGCCCAGATAAAAATTCCAAAAGAAAGGTGCCAAGCTTGTAGCTTCATTCTCTAGAAGACTTGAGGTTGCCTTTGTTGCCAAAGGTGCTTTAACCAAGCACTAAGTGAAGGGTCTGAATACTTATGTAAATGGGGTATTTTAGTCTTTATTTTTAATACATTTCCTAAACACTCAAAAAACATGTTTTCACTTTATCATTGTGGAGTACTCTGTGTAGACTGATAAGAAAAACAAGAACTGAATTCATTTTAAGATGAGTCTGAAATATTAACAACCCTTGGAAATCTTGAAAAGGGTCTCAATTCTTTCCATACTGACTGCATTTCTCTGGTTTCAACAGCAATAACTAACACTTTGACTCTTAGTAATAAAATTAATGATAACTACGCCCTCCTTTCTGCCTAAATATTACTACTGTAGATGAAATTATGGTTTCTAGAATCAAATTGATCATTTGCAAAGGCAAATAATATATTAACAGATAAAGACAGTTTTGAGATATAGTATGACTGTATAACATACTGTAAGATTAGATAACCTTGGTCCTAGCCAGAGAAATTAAAATGCCACTGCAGGAAAAGCAAGACCAAAAACAGATGCACACCAGTGTATCAAAGCAATCATTGGTACATTTGTGTTTCTTAAATTACATCTTCTCACCTTGGTATCCTCTAGATCCTATAGAGCCAGGGTCCCCTCTGGATCCTGGCCTGTCTGCAGTCGCATTTGGTCCTATGGGGCCGCGGAATCCTGGTAGTCCAGGTAGACCATGGTCACCTGAACAAATGAAACATAAGATTGATCTTACATTACAATACACATTTGCTCTATAACTGAGACCTAATGCCGAAGAACAGTGGCTAACCTAGAGCTCCCTGGAAGCCTTTCAAACCCGGTGTGCCTTTAACACCTGGCCGGTTGTCAGTGTCACCGCTATCTCCCTTCTCTCCTTTGGCTCCTGGTTCCCCAGTGGGTCCAGTGATGTCCACACCTGATAAAAATAAGACCAAAAAAATTCATGTCTAACTTCTGGGATCTGCACATAATCTTCAGACATACGTAGCTTTCTCTCCATAAACACTGGATGAAGTGAAGAATTCAGAAATACACTAGTCCCTAAAAATATGGCTTTAAAGCCTTACTATTTTTCTATAACACTAATTATTCATGATTTAATAAGTAACAATATAAGTCAAACATATTTAGGTATTAGTTATGGAGTTTAATGTTAAAACACTGTGCATTCATGTAGGACTCTCTTACTCATAGTAAGTAGCTGATTGCAAAAATACGTTTTCAGGGCCCCTGAGCTACAAGAGAGCTGTATAAAAGTGTATCTGACAAATTTTTACTTGCTATATTAATGGTATATTCTCGTTGTGACAGATACAAAGAGAAACTGTTTAAATTCCTGAATTATGGTTGAATACCTGGTGTTCCTGGGCTTCCCTTCTGTCCTTTCAGTCCATCTAATCCATAAAGACCCTTCAGGCCAGGGAAGCCTGCACACATTTGAACAGATCAGATGGAGAATATGGTAGAGAATAAATATGTAGTTTTAAAGAGAAAGAAAAAGAGGGCAGTGGTCTGATTCCATTACCTTTGGTTCCTGGGAAGCCAGGAAAACCTTTTTTTCCGTCTTGTCCAGGAAATCCAGGAAGGCCTTTTTGACCTTGGTTACCAGGAGTTCCCTTCTGCCCTTCTGAGCCTATAGAAAAAAATTGTCTATGAATCAGAACATATAAAATCTATAACATTTAAAATAATGACATGCTTAAACTGGAGATTGTTTAAAAAGGAACTGAAGAGCAGCCTCTTACCTGAGTATCCTGGTGTTCCTGAATTTCCTGACTCTCCCTTTTTACCTTCAATACCATCTTCACCAGGTATACCCCTGTCGCCAGTCACCCCAACTTGTCCTTTATTGCCTGTATGGGGGGTATTAAATGTTCCATACATATAAGCCATTAATTTTTGACTGTTGCTAATCAATACCAGAGGAGAAGAAACAAAAGCTGTAGGAATATGTACCTAGCTCTCCTTGACAACCACCCTCTCCTCTCAATCCAGGAGATCCTGGAAGGTCTATAATTGGGCCTCTATCACCTGTAACAGTATTCCAGAACCTTCTAACACTGAAAATACTTTCATTGCAATGACTTTAAAGTTAGCATCTACATCACCATCTGCCTGGAATTTAAATTTGAGGTTGTACCTTTGGCACCCTTTTTTCCTGGGTCTCCCGATGCGCCATAGGCACCAGGACCTCCTTTAGTTCCCTGAAAAGTAACATTAGCAATTAAGAAACACAAATGATGGCATAATGGCAGCGTAAGTGCAATAATTTTAATTTATTGAATGTGTGTCATCTGTGTGTCTGAGTTATTGTGCTGTTTTAGTTTTTGCACTGACCTTTTTTATTCTATTTTAGTTATTTATTGTGATTTTATTCTGCCATGTAAAGTACTTTGGTCAACTGGATGTTGTTTTTAAAGTGCTATATAAATAAATTTGATTTGATTTGATATTTGAAATTAGCAGATGTAAAGGGTTACTCCAGCAATTTAGTAGTGCATTTGCATAAAGTATATGCAGGAGAATAAGAGAAAAAGAAAAACTGAAGAGGATGAGATATTCTAACTTTAAGAATCTAGTATGGGTCCATCTCCAAAAACACTGGGACTGACATTTTCCATATTGCAATTGAACTGTATCTTTTATCAGATCCTCACTGCCTGTTAAACAGCAGAACAAGCTGTGAACACGGCTTTGATATATTGTCAGTATTCACACTCTTGTATCTCTGTTTTGGTCTTTGCTAACTTGTAATGGAAATATGTGCTTTTTAGCTGTTAAATGCTTCAGTACAATTGCCTGCCGCAGCTGGAAAGAATACTACATGAGAGTGAACCAAAACAGTAAAGCTGTCGGCCATAAAACCAAAACACTGAACTGAATCATGCCATAAAGCCCTGTAGAGCTGTGGAAAACTGAAGAGTTGGGTGATAATTCACTGATTCACCATTACGAGTTGTTTTAAGGCTCAAGGCCAAGCTGAGATATTCCCAGTGACATTACCCATGGTAATTTGTTAGCTCTGAAAAGAAGACATTACACAGCTATGATCATTATTTATAAAACTGGTGAAGTGCCTCATTAAGACCTGATAAATTACCATGGATGCCTACTGAGCTTCATAGTATGTTCCCAATATGGCTCTGCTCACCTTGTCTCCAGGCATTCCCTGAAAACCAACAATTCCTCTATTTCCAGTTACGCCTGGCATTCCTTTTATCCCAGGCAGCCCCTGTGGACCTGGATCTCCTTGTTCACCTTTCTTATTGCTGGGATCTCCAGGATTACCATGTTTTCCCTGGCTGCCTGTCGCACCGGGAGAACCCTTATAACCTGTGGAAAAGAGTAAGATCTGAGGATGTGCGGCATGGGATGACAGAGGAGCTAAGAAGGAAGGAGTCACAGATGTCAGAGTGGAGCTGCACACCTTTCATCCCTTGAGATCCTTGATTTCCTTGAGGTCCAGGGTCTCCTTTGATACCTTTCATCTCCTTAATCATCTGGGGATGGATGTGAGGCTTCTCCCCAGGTGGCCCCCTCACACCACGATCACCTGGCCGGCAGTGGGAAATGGTAAGTTTATGATGTACTCTCTGTACAGAGCACAGCACACTAACAAGCCACTGGGATCTCAAGATGTTTATAAAAACACATTTTCACCTTTCTCTCCACTATAACCTTTCATTCCTTTTGGGCCAACTTGGCCTGGCTCTCCAGGTTTTCCTTTTGGCCCACTGAAGCCCTTTACCCCAGGATCGCCCCTGTTCCCCTGAAAACCTGACATGCCAGGTTGCCCTTTTTGTCCTGGGAAAGAGATGGACCCTCAGAACACAAAAATAGACTTTTCTGACCAAAGCAGATGTATTTTGTAATAATTAATATTTAATGTATTTTTTAAGCAGTCAATTTTCAAAGTAAGTATCTGATGAGCAAACCCTTCACTCCTGGAAGTCCTGGGCGTCCACCTGCACCCCGCTGTCCTGGGTCACCCGTTGGACCAAACTGTCCAAAGGCACCATCATCACCGTATGCACCTGGGACCCCTTTTAAGCCGACTGGACCTGGAGGACCTGGGTCTCCCTCAGTTCCCCTTTCTCCAGTGAAACCTGATGAACAGGAAGATAGACCAAAAGGAAACAGGATGTTAGATATTGCCAAAGAAATTTCTGAGGGAGTGTGTCAGCGTGTATGTTCGTTTAACCTGGCTGTCCAGTGGCACCATGTGGCCCAGGTGGACCTGCTCTCCCAGGGTCACCAGGGAAGCCATACTTGCCAGCTGGTCCAGGCTTCCCTTCCTCCCCCTGCAGACCTACAGTGCCACTCTCACCCTTGAAGCCAATCATTCCAGGCATGCCAACCATCCCTGGAGGAATGTATGGATAAGAATATTAGATGGCGGCTCACAAATCCTGTGTCCTTTCAAATGATCCTACTAATGCTCAAAATAAGGCAGTAAGACCATCATAATTAAGTGACCTATAGGTGAAATAAACTACTGAGTTTGAATACAAGTAGGTGACAATATGTGAAACATGGCTAACCTTGATAGCCTTGCTCTCCTTTATCTCCATCCAGCCCCTTATTTCCTTGACGCCCAGGCAGCCCTGGGTCACCAGAGGGTCCAGGTAGTGCATCCAAGATTTCTCCATGAACACCCTTCTCACCTTGTGCCCCGTGATGTCCAGAAACGCCAGGCACACCAGGGTCTCCTACTGAACCTTTGGTGCCAGGAACTCCCAAGTCACCACGGGGGCCAGTAAAACCTTTATTGGAGAACCATAAAGTTTAATAAATGAAAATGATCTGTACCAAAAACAAAATTCAAACCAAACATCAGTTGTGGTCAGTTATGACTACTGGCCAGTGTTAACTTGTCACTCCTCACCTGGTGGTCCAGGATGGCCTCCTGTGCCTCGATCTCCTGTTTCTCCTTTCTGTCCCTGTAATCCAAGTGGACCCTCTTGTCCTTTTTGGCCTTTAGGACCTGTTAGTTAACACAATTAAAAAAAAACAAAAAATGACTAAACTCTATTACCCTACAGGCAAAACACAAACAAACAAACAAACAAAATAGTTTGTTGTTATGTTACCTGGGGAACCTGGTAATCCACTGCCTCCGGGAGGTCCAGGTGGCCCAGGGGGTCCTGGAACTGGATTGCATGGACCTGAGAAGAAAATAAAAGAAACACAGTCTTTAGGGGCAACATCATGCTTGTACGTATAATTGACTTTTTATTAGGAATTGACTATTTTGATGCAAGTGATTTTTGTTCACTGCCCGGCGTGGTTTGTTTTCCAGAACATGGCATTATCTTTACATTAGTTGGTATCACAATACACCAAATCTCAAATTGTAAATGACTCCAAATCATAATGCACAAAAGTCAAATACTCTAAAGGCAAAGCACAACACAGCTGTTATAAAGAAAGCAATGAGGTGAAAACCTTATTAAACCAGCTACCTGTTACATCCACCTGTCCTCCATCTCCTGCTGGTCTACAGCCACCTTTCAGTTGCAAATGAGGCAGGATGAAAGAGAGAGGCATTCGGAACAAGAGTTATTCAAAAGCACAAGCATTATCTCAAACACACTCAGCTGTGGCTGGTTTAAGCAAAGCAGCCCCTGTATCATGGAGACAACAGGAGGCGAAGAAAGAAATGTAAATAAAATGGCAAAATATTCTTGTTATGCCTCATCCTTCATCCTTCCAAGCCATTAATATTCGCTCCCATTTGACTACTTTGCATTAAATGACAAAAGTGGAGTATTTTTAGAAAAGCAAGGTAAAATGAATACTTAGTAAAGTGAAAACAGGTCAAATCCCTGCAGAGATAAAGCCTTGAAAGAGAAATATGCAACACCATATTGAAATTGAATCAAAGGGAGGAGGAGGCAATCAGCTGCCTCTCACCTGGGCTTCCAGGTGCTCCTTGAACTCCATTATAGCCTGCGAAACCGTCATCACCAGGTAAACCACGTTGGCCTTTGATACCCCCAAAGATTGCACCTGGTTCTCCTGCCAGCCCAGGTGCACCGGGTTGACCAGTTAGGCCAGGGAAACCCTTGTCTCCACGAACTCCCCAGGGGCCCTCTCCCTGTTGACATGAACCACAACCATCATCATATCACTTGTTATTAACAATGAGTGGTGGGAAAGGAAGGGAATGTCAAATGAACTGAAACCATAATAAACATAATAAGGAAGCTATAAACAAATAAAAATAAAAGGAATAAAATGAAATGAATAAAAATGTACAAATAGACATTCTGTACATGACTGATAGACTCACTGGAAGACCTCGGGTCCCCCTAAAACCAGGCAAACCGTTTGGCCCTGGAGCGCCTGACGCTCCTGGCTCCCCGCTTTGCCCAGGATCCCCTGGATCGCCACGACTTCCTGTGGAGATCATGCACATGTACATACAGTATGCACACACGTGACAGAGATGGCTTTTTTCTGCTTTTTTTTTCCCTCGCCCAGTTTTACTTTTGCTGCTGATCTTAAATGAGATGAAATAACACATTCACTGGACCTTTCTCTGTGATTATTCTTGTGTCTCCTTTTTGGCCTTTTGGGCCTGGCACACCACTGATCCCAGGAAATCCCTAAAAGGTGACAAAGGACATGTGAAGGAACAGAGAAGGGATTAAAATAGACAATGGATAGGAATTAATGGAGATGATGTGACTTTTTTCATGTGTTTTTAATTTATTTTTTAATTTTCTTACAGGCAACCCGTCATTTCCTCGGGGACCTGGGTCCCCTAAATCACCCTCCTGACCAAACTCCCCAGACATCCCAGCATCACCTTGGTCACCAGCAGGGCCAGGTGGCCCCAGTCTGGACCGCCCAGTGCACTGACACTCTCCTTGATCACCTAAATGAGTGCACCCACACATCAGCCACATAGTTCATTATTAAATATTTTAGGAAATTCATCTGTTTAGAGCAAATTAAAGAGGAGTGAAAACTTTCTATATTTTAACCAGTATTCCATCATGATATCAGTAATAATCTTTAGTATGAACAAAATGACCACAGCACCTTTTGGTCCTTTATAGCCTGCGTTGCCGGGCCTTCCTCTCTCGCCTGCAACACCCTTGAAGAAGTCACCCCCTAGAAACAAGCATAAACACAATAAAGACACCTTTTAGAAACACAGGGAGAATGATATTTAAAAGAAAGCCCACAGCTTAAAAGTTTTAAAACAAATGCTCACTCACATGTTCTTTTGGGTCCTGGAGGACCTGCGGCCCCTGGACGGCCTCTCGCGCCTGGGAGTGCTTCACCAAAAGCAGGGAATCCTCGTTCTCCTTGTTGGCCCTTCTCTCCTAGATCCCCTTCTATACCAAATGGTCCGAAGAAGTCGAACACTGACAGACACAAAAGGAAATTAAAAAAGGACACTTTACTAAAACTCTCAACCCGGGTGAATTTGGAACAAGTGCAGTCACTGCTTAGTTTATTGTTTAATATGTAGAACCCTGCTGGGATAACCAATTGTGGTGCCTGGGAAATAATGTAGGCTTCATAGACAACCGAGTTAATGTGAAAGATGTCATGTACTGTATAAAGCTGACCATTGCAAGTTTTATATACTGGTCCCAGGGTCTGAGTCTGTGAATCAAATTGTGGATGATAATGCACAGGATTTGCTGCAGATGACAAACCTTGTTGCTGTGTTTCAGAGGCAGAAAGTCCAGGGGGTCCAGGGATGCCTTGATCTCCTATTGGACCCCTCTCTCCCTGTGGACCCGGTTCACCATGCAGACCAGGAAGACCAGCTTACCAAGTTAAAGCAAAAAGCAGAAACATTTATTAGCAGCTATGCATTGAAAGAGGCTTATGTTTACAAAAAAAAAATCAGAAGACTGTCATTTTTCTAGTTTGTTGTTATGTTACCTGGGGAACCTGGTAATCCACTGCCTCCGGGAGGTCCAGGTGGCCCAGGGGGTCCTGGAACTGGATTGCATGGACCTGAGAAGAAAATAAAAGAAACACAGTCTTTAGGGGCAACATCATGCTTGTACGTATAATTGACTTTTTATTAGGAATTGACTATTTTGATGCAAGTGATTTTTGTTCACTGCCCGGCGTGGTTTGTTTTCCAGAACATGGCATTATCTTTACATTAGTTGGTATCACAATACACCAAATCTCAAATTGTAAATGACTCCAAATCATAATGCACAAAAGTCAAATACTCTAAAGGCAAAGCACAACACAGCTGTTATAAAGAAAGCAATGAGGTGAAAACCTTATTAAACCAGCTACCTGTTACATCCACCTGTCCTCCATCTCCTGCTGGTCTACAGCCACCTTTCAGTTGCAAATGAGGCAGGATGAAAGAGAGAGGCATTCGGAACAAGAGTTATTCAAAAGCACAAGCATTATCTCAAACACACTCAGCTGTGGCTGGTTTAAGCAAAGCAGCCCCTGTATCATGGAGACAACAGGAGGCGAAGAAAGAAATGTAAATAAAATGGCAAAATATTCTTGTTATGCCTCATCCTTCATCCTTCCAAGCCATTAATATTCGCTCCCATTTGACTACTTTGCATTAAATGACAAAAGTGGAGTATTTTTAGAAAAGCAAGGTAAAATGAATACTTAGTAAAGTGAAAACAGGTCAAATCCCTGCAGAGATAAAGCCTTGAAAGAGAAATATGCAACACCATATTGAAATTGAATCAAAGGGAGGAGGAGGCAATCAGCTGCCTCTCACCTGGGCTTCCAGGTGCTCCTTGAACTCCATTATAGCCTGCGAAACCGTCATCACCAGGTAAACCACGTTGGCCTTTGATACCCCCAAAGATTGCACCTGGTTCTCCTGCCAGCCCAGGTGCACCGGGTTGACCAGTTAGGCCAGGGAAACCCTTGTCTCCACGAACTCCCCAGGGGCCCTCTCCCTGTTGACATGAACCACAACCATCATCATATCACTTGTTATTAACAATGAGTGGTGGGAAAGGAAGGGAATGTCAAATGAACTGAAACCATAATAAACATAATAAGGAAGCTATAAACAAATAAAAATAAAAGGAATAAAATGAAATGAATAAAAATGTACAAATAGACATTCTGTACATGACTGATAGACTCACTGGAAGACCTCGGGTCCCCCTAAAACCAGGCAAACCGTTTGGCCCTGGAGCGCCTGACGCTCCTGGCTCCCCGCTTTGCCCAGGATCCCCTGGATCGCCACGACTTCCTGTGGAGATCATGCACATGTACATACAGTATGCACACACGTGACAGAGATGGCTTTTTTCTGCTTTTTTTTTCCCTCGCCCAGTTTTACTTTTGCTGCTGATCTTAAATGAGATGAAATAACACATTCACTGGACCTTTCTCTGTGATTATTCTTGTGTCTCCTTTTTGGCCTTTTGGGCCTGGCACACCACTGATCCCAGGAAATCCCTAAAAGGTGACAAAGGACATGTGAAGGAACAGAGAAGGGATTAAAATAGACAATGGATAGGAATTAATGGAGATGATGTGACTTTTTTCATGTGTTTTTAATTTATTTTTTAATTTTCTTACAGGCAACCCGTCATTTCCTCGGGGACCTGGGTCCCCTAAATCACCCTCCTGACCAAACTCCCCAGACATCCCAGCATCACCTTGGTCACCAGCAGGGCCAGGTGGCCCCAGTCTGGACCGCCCAGTGCACTGACACTCTCCTTGATCACCTAAATGAGTGCACCCACACATCAGCCACATAGTTCATTATTAAATATTTTAGGAAATTCATCTGTTTAGAGCAAATTAAAGAGGAGTGAAAACTTTCTATATTTTAACCAGTATTCCATCATGATATCAGTAATAATCTTTAGTATGAACAAAATGACCACAGCACCTTTTGGTCCTTTATAGCCTGCGTTGCCGGGCCTTCCTCTCTCGCCTGCAACACCCTTGAAGAAGTCACCCCCTAGAAACAAGCATAAACACAATAAAGACACCTTTTAGAAACACAGGGAGAATGATATTTAAAAGAAAGCCCACAGCTTAAAAGTTTTAAAACAAATGCTCACTCACATGTTCTTTTGGGTCCTGGACCACCTGCGGCCCCTTGACGGCCTCTCGCGCCTGGGAGTGCTTCACCAAAAGCAGGGAATCCTCGTTCTCCTTGTTGGCCCTTCTCTCCTAGATCCCCTTCTATACCAAATGGTCCGAAGAAGTCGAACACTGACAGACACAAAAAGAAATTAAAAAAGGACACTTTACTAAAACTCTCAACCCGGGTGAATTTGGAACAAGTGCAGTCACTGCTTAGTTTATTGTTTAATATGTAGAACCCTGCTGGGATAACCAATTGTGGTGCCTGGGAAATAATGTAGGCTTCATAGACAACCGAGTTAATGTGAAAGATGTCATGTACTGTATAAAGCTGACCATTGCAAGTTTTATATACTGGTCCCAGGGTCTGAGTCTGTGAATCAAATTGTGGATGATAATGCACAGGATTTGCTGCAGATGACAAACCTTGTTGCTGTGTTTCAGAGGCAGAAAGTCCAGGGGGTCCAGGGATGCCTTGATCTCCTATTGGACCCCTCTCTCCCTGTGGACCCGGTTCACCATGCAGACCAGGAAGACCAGCTTACCAAGTTAAAGCAAAAAGCAGAAACATTTATTAGCAGCTATGCATTGAAAGAGGCTTATGTTTACAAAAAAAAAATCAGAAGACTGTCATTTTTCCAGTATTAATGCTTTTTTTAATGCCAGTGTTGTTTTTTCCCATACAAATGCTTCAGTGCCAACGTTAGCTTTTTTCCAGTTATGGTTTTGTTTTCAAAGCCAAGCTTTATTTTTCAGTGCCAAAGACTAAAGTCACTGATTGATACTGGTCTGTGTCCTGTCTGCAGGACAATGAACCCTCATCAGGTCCAACACTTGACTTGTTGCACTGGCAGATCTGTGTTAAAGTTGAACTATGGCAATGTCGCAAACTTCCCCAAAGAGTTTCACTTCATGTCAGCATCACATTTGTAAGAGTGCATGTTAATGTCTGTCTTCATACTCTTTTTCTCTTTTCTGTTTCCTGATTATTTAACAAATTTTGTTGGGCCTGAATCAACTTACCCCTTGAGGTCCAGGATTCATTAATCAGTTCTCCTGGTTCACCTCTAACCCCCTGAAACACAAATTTACTGTCAGTCTTTGTGAGAAAGTACAGATGTGTGGGAGACCAAGGAGGTTAAAGGATTAGAGGATTAGAGGATTAGTTTTATTCTCATGCTTGTAGTCTTTAGATGTATTCACACTTATTTCAGTTATTATAGTACAATATTTTGCCTATGTCACTTATTATTTGCTTATTTTCTTTTCATTTATACTTATATTTTATTCAGATGTAATATTTGTTACCTCACTGCCATTCATTCATCAGTACTTGTTATACTTGCCCTGTAGTGTGATGCATATGGATGACCAAGAGTGACTCTCTGCGTGTAAGATGACCCTGGTGTCCTACAGTAACCTGTTTACTAGACTGTCATTCAAACAGCTGCCCAGTTTTGCAGCCCAGACTAAAAGGCGGCATGAGGCTACCTGTCACATCCCAGAGAGGGAGCGATAGAAAAGAGCCTTTCATGTAAATATTCATTGTTCCTAAGGTGTCATCCTATGACAGGTTGAGTCTTTCATGTTAAGGTTTAATATCAAAAAATTCTAATGTAGTAAAAAGTATAATATTTTGTTTTGAACTGTGATGAGAGAATATGTAAAGTAACATGAAATGGAAACAAGTGTGTCACGTTGGTGCGAAGTACAGTACTTAAATAAATGTGCTTTGTTACATGCTGATAATTGTCTGTAAATGATAATCAGCCTGTGAATTTAAATTCACATATTTTTGTCAGTCAGCTAGAAGAAGGTTTAGATGCAAAATCAGTGGTCAGGGATCACAAACAGGTGCATACTCACCTTGAGCCCACCTCTGCCATTTGGTCCCCTGTCACCAGGATCCCCCTGAAAGGAAGTTGTCATCATCAAATTACAAAATGACATTTTTCTTTAATTTGACAATGCAATAATGATAACTTATTCATCTTTCACACAGACATACTCTTGGTCCAGGACGCCCATATGCACCAGGTGGACCCTAAAAGAGCAACCAAAACAGAGCATAAAATGAATCTGGATAGAGCACGATGTTTTGCTGAAATGCGCAGAAATGTATCTGTGCTCACCCGTGGTCCAGTGAATCCTGTTACACCAGTTTCTCCTTTGTTGTCAGCCTGAAATAAAACAACCAAAGGAAAAGGTCGGTGACATTTTAGTGTGTATGTACAAATAATGTACATGTGAGTCAATGGGTATGATCGTTTGTGATATACGTACCAGATCTCCTCTTTCTCCTTTCAGACCTTTCTCTCCTTGAGCTCCCTAAAATAATATTAAAGAATAAATAACGAATATTCTTTTCAGTACATATGTCTGTGCTTGTAACACTGCTCATTTTATTTCATATTTTAAAGACCATCTTTGAATGTCATTTCAGCATATAGAGTAATCAACAAGATGAGCATATATTACAGATATACACACCAGTTTGGGCTCAACAACCTGGTAAGTATGGTTTCCTGGTGGCCCTTGTGCTCCAATGTCTCCCTGTGGTGTAAGCAGAAAGTGCAACACATGTCAAGAACAAATCATCATAATACACTCAGATCATCTACTTAAGTTAAAGTACCAATATTATAATTTAAAAATACTCTACTACAAGTAAAAATTCAACTAAAGTAAAGTGCAGAAACATTAGCAGCAACATGTACTTAAAACGTCAAAGTAATAAGTAGCTGATATGCAGAATGTGTAATATTGGATAATGTGTCCTTTTTAAACTGTTAAAACTGAAAGGTCTCTTTACTAGAACTGCGTACAAATCATATTTATCAGTGACAAGGAGCCCCAATTAGACACTGTTATTTTGTAATTTGTCACAAACCTAAATAGTTGCAAACCACCCAGTTTATCTTTAAGATTACTCCATGTTCTTAATGTACAATCTTACAAAAACTTAATATTAAAACTTTAAAAGTATTCTAAAAGGTACTATACTGTGACTATAGTTGTGAAATAAATTTAATGAAGTAAAAAGTGTAATACTTTGAAATTTAGTGTAATATCATTAAATGGAAATGTTCAAGTAAAATCTAGGTGTCTTAAAACTCTCAGTAAGGACAATACTTGAGTAAATATACTTAGCTTATTCCATTACAAATCATTGTGTGGGAAAGTACAGAGACAGAACTCAAACTGCATTTAATTAGATGATTTGTGACCTAAATGAATTCAGGATTTTTTCTTGCAACATCTGCAAACTGTTCTGTTTGATCTGACTAACAGATATCAACATTGCATTCAACAAACATGGTCGCCTACCTGCTCTCCCTTGACTCCCTTAATTATTCTGGACATAGAGCCCTGCCAAAACAAACAAACAAACAAACAAACAAACAAAAAAAACAAAAACAGCTGAAGTTCCTACTTTTTTACCAATTATATGCTTGACACAGTATAAAATAACATGTCATGCAGCATTTTCAGAGTCAGAAATCGAATTTCTATTACGTTACAATAAATACATATAATGTTGCGTCACCTTTGGCCCTCTGGGGCCGGGGGACCCTGGGGGACCCTAGCAAAAGAAAAAAAAACAGCATCCTAATAAGCACTTTGTATCACAATAGATTAGGTTTGACACATTACAGTATACCACAAATTCACTGACACACAACCCTGCTCCCACTTGCCTTTGGTCCTGGGATGCCTATATTACCCTGCACTCCTGGTTGTCCTGGAGGCCCCTGAGAATAATCAAATGAAAGACAGCAGATGGTAAAGACTGCAAATGAAGAACGATATGTTTCAGATAATAAACTGAATGTGCCTTACGGATATTCCGTTGATCCCTGGAGTGCCTGGATCTCCCTGTGGAAAGAAGTTCAAATATTCATGAAATAAATGAGATCTACATGACTTTGTTATGCCAGTAAAAAGTCTTAAATGCAACAATTCCTGAGGTCCTTCAGAACAAATTTCATGTCCAGGGTGCACTCCTTGTCCTCACCCTGTAACCCTCCATGTATATATTCAGCACCATAGAGTCTCCCTTCTCTCCCTTCCTGCCTGGAGTTCCCTAAGAGATGGAAAAGAAAAAGATACGCAGTACTTGTGAGTACTTAGAAGAAATCAAACTCTGTATTGTACAAATCACTATTCAGAAACCTTTGGAGTAAATACTTACAGAAAAACCAGGTGCACCTGTATAGCCGTGGTTTCCCGGTAACCCTGGTTCTCCCTGTGTCCCGTTACAGCCGTCAGCACCTGTTTTGCCCCTGGGCCCAGGTTGTCCTGGGTGGCCCTGCAGAGCAATCATCAAATCAAAACCCATCACATACAGAATCAATACCCTGTCAACATACGTGAGGTTTTGCTGCTTTCACATGATG